GGAAAGAAGGTCACAGTTTTGTTAGCCCAAGCCCAAGCGCACCTGGCACCAAGGCTAGGTGTCCTCCTAGTAAGAGGCATTTTTGCTACAACTCTTTGGAAAAGAGATGGATTCCAGGGCTGGGGCAGGTGAAGCAAACGCAGTGCGCACGCTGTCCCAGAAGTGGGCACCCCAGTGGGGGCCTGGTCGAAAGGACTTGGATGGCCGCTGGGTCTTCAAGGGCTAACGCTGGGGTAATTTTAGCATCACAGTAAATCCGAATGGTGGATTGTCTATCATCGACTGAAATACAAACCAGGAGTCCCAGGCCCAGCAGATGGAATGGTTACGTCACTGGACTCCCACGTAGTCAAGCGAGGTCAGTGTCTGGACTCAGCAGCTTAAAACACCTGCCAGGCCTGTGTCCAGAGAGGAGAGTGGAGGAGAGGGGATTGCAGTGTGGCATCCCCCCAGGGGGTGATTTCTCGCTTTCTGTCTTTCCCTGTCTTCTGGTGAGCCCACCCACCCTGTAGCAAAAACCTCAAAAGAAAACAAGGAAGAGTCTCTACTCATATGAATGAGTGAATGGGGGTCAAAGGACCTTCCTACAGGAGATGCCAATGCTCATCCCGGAAACTCAGAAAGGGAAGCTATTATGAGCGAGTGAGAATTTCCCAAGAAGTTCTAGTTCCTTGTCAAGAGAATGAAGAACGTGGTTCGCGTCCCGGACCCGGTGGCTTAAAAACTCACGCCGGGCGCGTGTGCGTGCGTGCCCAAGATCCCGAGAAGAGAATGGAGAAGGGATTGCAGCGTGACCATCCCCCCGGGGGGTGATTTCTCAATTTCTCGCTTTCTGTCTCTATGTCTCTCTCTGTCTGTCTGGCGAACGCACGCGCCCTAAAGGGGAAAAAAAAAAAAACAAAAAAACAAAAAAAAAACCTCTCCAAAAAAAGAAAAAAAAAAAAAAGAGTGAAGAGGAGCAGAGACCGTGTCATCCTCAGGCTTCCTCTGGAGCTCTCAGAGTCTTAACAAATTCCACCAATTTGTTCCAAAACTTCATTCGTGCAAAAAATAAACCTGGCCCACACTCAGAGACAGAAGTTAGTGGGGTGGGAAGGAGGGGTAGTGAGGTCTCGACCCTTGTTGATTGCACGTGTTTGGGGACCAGGTCTGGGGAAGCTACATCCGGAAGGGAGGGTCCCATTGGAGAAGGTTACCAGTTCACATCCAGAGACCGCCCTGAGGACCAGGCGTGTGTGCATCCGTCAGGGCTGGCTGGGGCTGAGGACAGAGCTCGGTGTCAAGACCCTGTCAGGATGCCTGACCTGTGACCCTGCCGTAACCACTCTGGAGTAGGTGCAGTTGTGATCTGAAAGCAGGCATCGCCTCTGGACCGCATCGCTGAGCTGGGACTAGAAGCCTGCTTTGCCGCTCAGCTCTCCTGTGACGTGATTAGGGTGCGAAGAGGACAGAGAGGTGTGACGGCGTGACACCCCGTGGCCTGGCGCTTTGCACTGAGCAGGGAAGGGAGGGTCTTTGAGATGCCATTTGCGCTGAGGCCTGCATGAGGAGGAGACAGAGCGTGCCAGGGCCCCGAGGTGTTGAAGACGTCAGAGACAGAAACAGCGCCGGGAGGGCACGTGAGTGGCAGAGGGCTGAGCTCATGGGGAGGTGGCACTGGGGTATGGGAGGCCACAGTAGGGAGGAGAAGCTTCTGGAACCATGGGAAGCAATGGGCAGCTAGGAAGTGACGGATCCGATCTGGGCTGAAAACAGAGCCCTCGCCCGCGCTTGGGAAACAAACCACCTGTGGGGCTTTCGCAGTGGTCCAGGTGGGGCTGATGGCAGCCCGGAGCGGCAGTTTAGCCGTGGACTGGAGGCCAGGGACTGACTGAGGGGACATTTTAGAGACGAGGAGATAAGACATACTCATAGATTGTGAAAGAGGAGGAAAGAGGAAGCAATAAAATGTTCTGCTTCTAAGAAAATACATGTAGCTTCCATTTTTAAAGAACTGCCTTAAATTAGTATGTATTAAGACCTTCTAGGGTCAGCCCCTGGCGTGGTGGGCCAGGCTGTGGGGTGGTGGCCGAGGCAGCTGGACCCCACGCAGCCGACTGCAGAAAGCACAGTGTGCCTGCGTGCCCCGCTCTCCAGGAGGGAGGAGTGGAGAAGGGCCGGTGACCAAGCCCCGAGGGCGGTGCTTCCTCATGTTCCCTTCCCTCTTTGTGATGCCACATATACCCTCTGGCAGAGCAGACAAACAACATCTTCTAAATACGTGACAGCTACTTGAGCGCTTGACCAAATCTTTGTTTTTGTTACTTAAATGACTGACTGTATGCCATGCACCGTACCTTCTGAAATGGGCTTCTTCGTCCCAACACGCAGAGCTTTGGTTCCGCATGCCCAGAGTCCTGCTGCCTGGAGGGCCCTGAGGGAGGTCCCGCTGTGAGGGAGACCTGGGCCTTGTCCCTGCCTGAAGTGTCCCCTCCAGTCAGAGTCAGAGGGCTGAGTCATTCCGAGATGCAGCGCAGAGGTGGAGATTCATTCTGCTCTGGAATAGCACAGGAAGGCTGCTGGCTGAGCACGCTCTGCAGGCCGAGGGTCCTGTGCAGGGGCTAGGTCGGCCCTCCGAAGCAGAGAAGAGCATGTGCACAAGTCCTGAAGGGTAGTGTGAGCAGGTAACCCCGTGGGTCGGCATGTCTGCGGCTGCAAATGCCGGGAGCTGGCGGGTGGCGCGTTTAACCCCAAGAGCTAGAGGTCACATGCGGCAGGGCCTTGTGTGTTATCCCAGGCCTTCTGGACACTCTCCTGCAGGCAGTGGGGGGGCAATGAGGGGCTCAGTGCCGGGTCCCCCTGGTCGCCATGTGGGAGACATACTGCTAGGGAGGAGAGAGGGAAGCGGTTTAGAAGGGGGTCCTAGAAGGAGGGGACATTAGCCTAAACTCCTGTCGAGTAATGGCAATGGGGTGAGGAGCGGAGGATACCTAACACCTAATGGGGAGGACCAGGAGGACTCGGGAAGAGAGGGAGGGGGAGTCCGCAGTTCCCACCTTCTTGTTGAAGCAGCTGGGAAGAGGTGCCGCCCTTTCAAAGACAGTGAAAACTCTGGGAGAACGTGCAGTTTCAGTTTGGAGCACTTAGGTTTGAGGTGTCTGGGAAACACTGACGCAGAGACGGCGGGTGGCCTGGTCGGTACACAATGAGGGCCCTGTGCAGAGGTCCGAGCTGCAGGTGGACAGGAGAGTCTTCACCCTGAAACTGAAGCCTGGACGGCAAACAACAGAGAGGCTGAGGGCCCAGTGGGGCAGGGGAAGCAGGCCTGAGGGCTTTCACTTTCACTGCTGAGGAGGAGGAGGACACGTTGAGGAGAGGCTGAAAAGAAGTGTCCAGAGAGGGGACAATCTAGACTAGAGAAGTGGGGTGGTGAGGGACAGTGAAAGGAAAATAGTCACTGAGAGGTCAAGTTGTTCCAGTTTCCTAACTGGGTGTTGGAAGGGGAGGTGGAAGATGGAGCTGATAATGACTTCGACTTTCTGGTGTGGGTAATGTCACTGAGTGGCATGAGGAATATTGGAGGTAGGCCACGTGGCCTAGCAGTGGCGGGAGGCACATCCCACATGGCCTGGAAGACCCCACTGGCTGCATGTGCACGCACACCCAGGACCAGAGGGGTGGGGAAATGGGGAAGGGATGGTGCAAAGCACACCCGCGGCCGCAGAGGGCTGAGCTCATGGGGAGGCGGCACTGGGGTGTGGGAGGCCACAGTAGGGAGGAGAAGCTTCTGGAACCATGGGAAGCAATGGGCAGCTAGGAAATGACGGATCCGATCTGGGCTGCAAACACAGC